AAAAATGAACATAGCCTCAGGGACCTGTGAGACAACAACAGAAGAGTCATCATTTCAGTCATTACACTCCCAGAAGGAAAGAACAAGAGTGGGTTGAAAGTTGTTTGAAAAAGTACTGGCTGAAAATGTCCTAAATTTGGTAAAAGACACCCACCTACAATTCTAAGAAGTTGAGTGAAGCTAAATAGAATAAATACAAAGAAATTCAGCCAAAGACACAGGACAATTAAACACTGAGAAAACTAAAGCCAAAGAAAAGTCTTGAAAGCAGCTAGAGGGAGATAATGTGTTACTTCCATGGAACACCAAATGCAAATGTCAATGGATTTCTTATCTGAAGTCATGAAAACCAGAAAGAAGGGGCACCATACTTTTCAAGTATTTTTCAAGTGCTAAAAGAAAAGAACTGTCAAGCACGAATTCTATATCCTATAAATTTTTCCTACAGTAGTGAAAGAGAAATAGAAAATATTCTCAGAGGAAGAATGAAAAGAATATGTTACTGGCAAACATAGTTTTTAAAAATTAACCCAATATATAAAAAATGTTATTATTTTAACATGTAATAAATATAAAAATATTACAAAGAAATAAAATCTCTTAAAAATTGGCTAAACATTTTCCCAACAGAAAGAAACTGATAAAAGAAAGAATATTGGAGGATTGGGAAGGAAGAAGAAATAATGGAAAGAACACAAAGATGGGTACATATAAAAACTTTCTTTTCCTTATGAGTTTTAAAGCGATATTTGATAATTGGAACAAAAATTATAGGACAATCTGATTCCCATGATAATGCTATTTAAAAATGGAGAAGAAAATGGGATCAAAATGGGGCTTCCACACTTCACTGAAGGTAGTAAAATGTTGAAATGAGTAGGCTGCATAATTCATATAGAGAGGCACATACATTGTTAGGTTTGTAGTAGTACTAAGAACAATCACTACCAAAAATACACAGAGATACACTTAAAAATACATAAATAAATCATGTTCAGATATTGTGTAGAGAGGCAAGAGAACAGAAGCAGAAAAATGAGACCAGAGGAAGCATAGAAAACAAATAATAAATGGCAAGCTTAAGTGCTAACATATAAATAATTACCTCAAATGTAAATGGTCTAGGTACACCAATAAAATGTTGATTAAGAAATGTGAAGTCACTGCCTGTTGATCTAGTGATTCCAGTTATTCCACAGCTAGAATTATGCCCAGAGAATCCTGAAATACCAATTCAAAAGAACCTATGCACCCAAATGTTCATAGCAGTGTTATTTACAATAGGCAAGTGCTGGAAACAGCCTAAGTGCCCATCAGTAAATGAATGGATCAAAAAACTGTGGTGCATTTACACAATGGAATGCTATGCAGCAGGAAAAAAAAAAAACCCTCCTACACTTCATGACAGCATCGTTCAATTCATTGAGGACCTGGCCTAAATAGAACCAAAATGTGGAGGAAGGGTGAATTATCTCTATGTCCTTCAGCTGCGACATTCATCTTCTCTTGTTCTTGGACATTGGAACTCTTGGTTCTTGGGCTTTCAGATTCTGGATTTATGCCAATACCCTTCCCCCTTTATAAGCCTTTGGCCTTGGACTGGGAGCTATACCATTGATTTCCCTGGTTCTCAGGGTTTCGGATTTGGACTGAATTACACCACTGGCTTTTCTTATTCTCTAGCTTGCCCATGGCATATTGTGACACATCTCAGCTTCTCTAATTATGCAAGCCAATTTCCATAATGATAATATATATAATCTCCTATTAGTTTATCATATATATGTGTAATATATATATATATTACACATAAAATAAAGGAAAATATTATTTATCTGTAAAGTACTTTGACTAGTATCTAGGAGCTGCTCAATAGATTTTTATGAAAGAAAATACAGGAGGGAGAAAAGAAAGGAAGAATGGTGATGAAATTGTGCATTATTGGGGACTCTGAACTTATGGACCATTTCAAGATGTTACTTTCATGTGATCTAGACTAGAATCCAGGAATAGGGGTGATGTGCCACCTGGATAGTTAAATAGATCAACAATTTAGCTGGAATCAAGAGAACATCCTTTGAGCTAATGTGTTGCTTTGAAGTCAATGAAGATAAAAGTTTCACTTGCAGAGGAGGAGATGAGTTGGTGTATGACTCTGACAGTTTTAGGTTACCTAACAAAAAGCTAAAAATCTCCAACTGTGGAGCTCTTTATTGACTCTAGAGTTGTAAATGCGGACCTGGGATTTATAGAAAGAAACGATTAGGGGAGGATGGGTTCAACAACCAAATGGCAAAATGAAGCATGTCTGAGAGAGGATTCATGGTGCCCAGAGTAAGTCTGCTCCAATTTCCTACTCAGCCTCTTCAGTGGAACATTTATCCCATCTTTGTTTCCTCTCTCTTATTGTTGAGCCTGAGTAACAAACTGGGACCTTAGGTCTCCTCCCTGTGATGTACTCTTCTTAAACATGTCTGTTTTGAACACAGTTACCTTCTTTTCTAATTGATAAGATTTTTTTTTTGTTTATCAGAGGCCTGCATTAGTAACTTCACCTGTAATTTCCGATCAGAACCCATCATTCTTACCTGTATACATACTGCAATTTGCACCAGTGGAATAAAATTACCATCCATTATAATCAGCTGTATAGTTATATCCCCCCGCCCCCCAGTAGTAAGTTCTTTTGTCAGATTTGTCTATGCATACATGTATGTATGCATGTATGTATGTCTAGCCAGACTCTGAGTTTACCTGTAGTATCTATTAATAGCATTAAATAAATGTTGAATAAAACCTGTATAGTTATATCCTGTGTGCCTTTCCTTTTCCCAGGGGTTATATCTATTTTTAAAATTTCTCCCACAAAGGGGATACAGAGATAGAGATAGAGATTTAGAGATATATAGAAATAAATACCCCTTATCTCTGTACAACAATTTAATTAATCTTAAGCTTCCTCTGTCTTTCTATCCAGATCATTTATTACTAGATAGCTATTGTACAGAGTGGTTAAATATTAAGGCTCTGAAAGGAGACCTAGTTTAGAGCAGTGGCCTGTCATTTACAAGTTCTCTGCCAACTAAAAGCTCTTATAGCCCTTCTAAGCCTAATACATTTTCATCTCTAAAATGAGACTTATCATTGCTTCATGAGTGTTGTGATGGAGAGCCCATGCCCAATGAATACTTAGCACAAGGCAAGGCATAACGGTCTGCTCAATAAGTAGTAGCTATTTTCAATATCTTTAAAACCATTTGAAGTACATTATATTTATTAGAAGACCAGACACAATTTTAAAAGTACCAGATATTGAGAAATAGTAGCCTACTAATAAGTTTTTCAGCATTATCTTCATTAGCAGTAAACATATCTAGTAAACATTATTAATACTGAAGTATATCTAGTAAACATTATTATGATTTCAATAAAAAGAATAGTTTTTACATTTTGTCAATGTGTAAGGGGTCTCTGGTAGGTTCACTAACATTAATTTTACAAAATTAAGTGAATTCAAAGGAAGCACACATTTTTCCAGTTTTGAATTTTAAGCCTGAATGAATAAGCATTAATATAAGGGTCATTTAAAAAAGTTTTTATTTATTTTTTTAAAGATTTTATTCATTTATCTCTAGAGAGGGAAGGGAGGGAGAAAGAGAGAGAGAGAGAGAGAGAAACATGAATGTGCGGTTGCTGGGGGCCGTGGCCTGCAACCCAGGGATGTGCCCTGGCTGGGAATCGAACCTGCGACACTTTGGTTCACAGCCCGCGCTCAATCCACTGAGCTACGCCAGACAGAAAAAAGTTTTTATTATAGAAAGTTGCCAATCTGACTTACTAAAAAAAATAAACAAAGCTTAATGTGGTTAATAGGTTGTATTTATTATTCTCTACAGTATTTAAAAATTAGAATATATTGTACCACTTTGTTAAAAATAATTCTTCACACAATTTTGGTAGGTTAGTGACAAACACAGTTTACAAATAAAAGATATAGGCTTCAAACTAAAATCAGTTTGTGGTCTTAATAGAATTTACAGAAGCAAGTTAAGATTCAGTCTACATATCCAAAGCAGTTTCCACATGAAAGCATTTCCAGGGGATAGAAAACTGATAAGCTTAAATAAAGCACCAGCTGTCACCATGTCACCAGGCTAACGCTGACTCCTTCTGGTCTCCATCACATACATGATGAAGCATGGGGGGAGAAAGAAACAAAACCCTGAAGTTACAGTTGCTTAGAGCATCCCCCAAAGGCATCTTGGTAAGATTAATACATTTCTGAAGAGCAAAAATAGTTAGATTATGATAGTTAAGGCTCAAGATCATGCGTTCATAATAAAACACAATTGCTAATATTTAAATGGCATTGAATGTCATACAACATATTCAAAGCTTGTCATTTAAGTCAACAATATACATAGTTTCTCATTGAACCTTCTAAGACTTTGTAGGCACATTTAAAACAATCTTCATACAAAAGGAATAAATTTCAGAATCTCAAACTATCTACAAGGTCTGTCCAGAAAGTATCCAGCCACATAAATATTAAAAAATAGACAAATTTATTGAAGAAAATGAAAGATACAAGAAACATTGTACATAGGACAATGACACCTCAGTCCCCTTCAATGTAGGCACCTTGGGACCTCACACAATTCTCCCAATTGCCATCAGCTGCTTGGCCATATTTTCCTGAATCTCATTGACAGTCTGAAAGCTCTTCCCTTTCAAAGGTGATTTTAATTTTGAGAAAAGCCAGAAAACACAGGGCACCAAATCTGGGCTGTAGGGGATCTGAGTAACCTGGGTGATTTGATGTTTTGCCAAAAAACTGCATGAGATGTGATGATAAGTAGACACATTGTTGTGATGAAGCTGCCAGTCACGGATGCCCATAGCTGCAGCCTTCTGAATCATCCAAATAGTTTCCAGAGGAATGTTCAAGCTTAATGCAAAATTTGATGCAGATTCATTGCTCTACTCACTGAGTCATTTTGACTACAGTGGCCACACAGGACACATGCTCACTCAATGGGGTCTACCACCCCCACTGACCAGTACAGTGAAGTTGTCATTGTTCTCGCATGCACATTCCAGTCCACTCTCCTTGGATGCCAGATTGTATCAATGGTACACAAACTGTTCCCATTAAATTAACAATGGTTGGACCTTTTCTGGACAGACCTTGTAGATGTGGCTGCATTTTTATGAACATGTCTAAAAACAACTTTGTGCCAATCTTTTATAAATAATTTCAATGGTGAAAAATAATGTTTAGGATTTTAAAGTTTTTCAGATATAAAACATTTTGGAGAGTAATTATGTGTGTAATGAGATAAAAACAAGAACTCAGAAAGACCAACGAGTAACCGGAAACTAACTTGTACATATTAATGTTATATAACCCCACCAACATACTTACACTTTGATCTCCTAATTCAGAGTTCTCACAGCTTCAGTGATCATTTTCTTTCTCTATTTATAAAGAACCATAAAGTACAGCACAAAGTAGTTCAAATTGGCCACAGTTTCCCAACTAATGATCAAGACACTGAAAATCCTTAGACACGATGGCAGCCCTTGATTCTTCTAATTCATATTATGATATATGTTTGTCAGATCTTATATACTCAATGTTACTTTATGGGTAAATGGTAAAAATACATCAGTTTTATGATAAGGTAAGACTTAAGACTACTAACATATTTTCTATTATATCATTTTATTAAATACACTTTTTAAAATGTGAATAAAGAAAGTATAGGTCATAACCGATTTTCCTTTTTTCTTCTTGTTCTACAAACACGTGCAACTGAAGAGCTGACATAGCTGAAACTAACCAGAGATGGGAAGCCAGGAATCCAAGAACCATGAAACAACACTAATTCCCCATACCAAAAACAGAAGAAATAAAACAGAAACAGGGCTCCGATCAATCTTTTTCAGATGTGGTTTGATTCAGCCCAAGGTCTCTGTGGCTGATCTCAAAGGCACTTTCTAAAAATAGCCCTTCCTCTTCCCCCAATTGGCATCTGTGTAGGAAAGTTCATGATTTAATGGCCTATAGCACTATACTGCTTTTAAAACACTATTCAACATTAAGAAAGAGGAGACTTGGATCCCATCAAGTTGAAGTAGACATAAAAATATACTGGGAAGACCCCTTTGCTACTAATCTCTACCCCCACTTCCCCATCCTCCAGAAGAATCACACATAGAGAAAATCCTATAGAGAAAACAAGCATTGGATTATCAAGTGGCATTATAACCCACTTTCACTCACTGCAGTGATTTAAAGGGATGTCTGATTACACTGAATGCAGAGGGGTAAAACTGAATTTAACATGGAGTCTTGTGAAAGCTTAACTTCCATGAGTTGTAAACAACTGATTATTAACTGAAGTCTTTACTTTCTCTAATCTTTGCTTTTATTTCTGACTTCAACCTTTAACATTTTTGAGAGATGTAAAGAAAGTGAAAAAGTGGTTAGTGGAATTAGATATGGCTTTGAATAGTGGACTTTTGCTAAGCTTTATCAGAACAGGCATCTTCTTTGGTAGCTTTATCTTCCCCATCATCATCTATCATATGAATATCTGATGTATTTTTGTCATTTTGCCTCAAACGGTAACTTTTATAAGCACGCTGAATGATGGTTGCCGAGACTGCCTCTTGCTTTCGTTTCAGAGTAGTTGTAATTGGCTCATATGTGATCTTAAAAGGGCTGGCTAACATAAACCCGGACTCTATCTCTGAAAGCATTTTCTCCATGCTCACATCTCTACCCATAACTCTCTTTGTAAAAGCAAGTAAGATATCAAGGCAATGAATTCTGTCCCCAACGGCCATCGGAAGATCCATGGCGACAAGCTGGCCCCTGTTTGGCTTTGCCATGAAAAGAGGAGGATCCAGAGCAGCTGCAAAGTCTGAAAGCTTGCTAGAATCTATGTACTGGGTCCTGTCAGGATCAAACCTTGTCCACACCTGAAAGAATTTCCTAAAATCATCTTCACTCAGTGTCCTGGCTTTTTTTTTAGAAGCAATATTTAAAAACTCCATAACAAAAACAATGTACATGTTTACAATGATCAGCCATGATATGATGATATAACTGACAAAATAAATAATTCCAACAGAGGGATTACCACAGTCTCCTCTAACCTGAGTCCCAGGGTTAATTTTTTCAGGATCACAGTCAGACCATTTACTGTTGAAAATGGCATTAAGCATCCCGTCCCAACCAGCAAATATTGTGACTTGGAAAACACAGAGCATACTGCTGCCAAAGGTTTCAAAGTTGGACACATCATTAATTCCAGCTTCCTTTTTAACATAGGCAAAGTTGTACATTCCAAAGATGGCATACATGAACATGACCAAGAAGATGAGAAGACTGATGTTCAACAATGCTGGGAGGGAGAGGATCAAAGGAAGCAGCAGATCACGGAACACCTTTGGTCCTTTCCCAGGATGCAGGATGTGGATGATCCGAGAGAGAAGTATGAGTTGCACAAAGGGAGGAGGTACAAGGTAGTATCCTGCCAGAGGCAGAAATAGTTCTGGTGTAGGAAAGATAAAGCAGGCAGTAAAATTAGTCAGATTCGGTGGTATTTAGAGGAATGTAAATTATTTTACATTTTATTTCATTCTATATGTTAAGATCATTTTACTCATCCTTCTCATAGAGCATTTAGCACATATTTTAAGTTTGGGTTGGTCAAATACTATGTAGCAATGTCCAGAGTATCTGGCAAAATTTGGAAGAGAATTCTTTGTACCATCATCCTGTGAGTATTATGTGTCAAGTACCTCTGGAATCACAGATGGTATGCATCTGTCATATGACCATAGTCATTTTTTTCTAATTGTAATTAGATCAAGAAATTTAGTTTGATGCAACTTTTATTCCACACCTAATAAAGGTGTTGTGCAAATATGCAAAGATGAATAATGTGAATTCTGTCCTCAAAGCCTTTCTAATCTACAGAGGTAGACATTTAAACTAATTATAATACAAGGCAGAAAAACATGGTTGATGAATATAATTACAAAAAGTTTTTGCTAAATTGAATTTATTGGGGTGACACTGGCTAACAAAATTATACAGGTTTCAGGTGCACAATTCTACAATATATCATTTGTACTTTAATGACTCACAGATTTTAATTTAATTTACTTATTTCATAAATAATATTTGGGCCCTTAAGAACTTTCAATGCGAACTGAATAAGTGAGTCTTTGCCTAGACCTTTTTCCTGACAGCAGTGGGTGAATGAGGGAACTATATGAAAGTGAGAGAGAGAACTATAAGACAAGGTGAAATTATAACTACTATGAAAAGGGATGTTGCTGGAAGTCCTGGAGAGGATGTGGTGCCTTTTGAGTTCAGGAGGTGGGGGAGGGGAGAATCATATGAAGCTTCTAAATGAGATGGTATGTTTGCTGAATCTGGAAGGATTATGTCTCACATTTCTGTTGAACTTTGTTACTGTTAATGCTGGCACTCTCTCTGACGTTCTGAGCATATATCCTCTGACGTGCCAGCATATATCCTCATCTCCAAAGTGCTTTAATGACTTTCTACTCTGACTCAAATTTCCATTTCTCCTCAATCTTCTAAACTCTTCCATTTTGCAGGAGGTAACCCCCTTTAATTAAAAGCATATTTGTCTACATCTTCCAGAGTACAGACAGCTTATTCTGCCCCACCCCATATTTCTCAAGATAGAAAGATGGAATAAGCAGGCATCTTTTTTTCTTTCCAATGTGATTTCCAGACACCTTTCCTTCCCATCATTTTCATAAAGAAAAGAGATGGACACTTTGTGGGTCATGTCATTTAACAATACCTTCCTTCTCTTACCACTCCCTGGCTCCATGATCTAGTCATTCCTCCTCATTTATATGCAACTTGAGTCTTTAGTACTTGGCTCCTGTTGCCCTTTCCCTCCCAGCACCTACCAGCATCAACAGCCCATTCAAGGCTAGTCTTTCAATCTTTGGCTTTCTTAATTGTAATAACCTCCATCATTTATTACTTCAATCTTATACAGTGATGGCCACCTTCTGAACCCAGGCGGGAGACCTGCCTTCCGAGCTCTGAGATTCAAACAGCTTTCTCTCTGACTGTGGTTTCCTCTCTCCAGGCCTCTGTTTCAGTCCCCCACCTCAGTCTCATAGGGCTCTTCAATTCTACATTCCTCTGGTACCTTCCTGTTGCTCCCTTTATGTACTTTCAGTCAAGCTTCTTATACGTGCCTGTTAATAGTTCATCTACTTTGACTACTAGGTGAATGAGTGAATTTTCCAGAAGCACACCTGGGCTGACAGTTTATCCACATTTTTTACTGCTGATTACACCAAATAGTATTTGACAATAAACATTAAATGTCGTTCCTATTTTCATGGAGCTCAAATTCCATTATGTGTCTTGTAGGACGCAGACAACAAAGAAATTTTTCTCTGCTAAAACACTTCTCCTAGATTATTTCTTTGCTACCTCCAATCTAATAAGTAACTGTTTAGATTTTTTGCTTCATCTGTGAAGTTTTCTCTGCCTTCTAGTTACTGATTAGGTGTCCTCACTAATGTGCTGCTGTAACAGCCCTTCCATAATCTTATCTGATCCTTGATAGCACAGTAAAATGAACTGTTAGTTTTCTGTATCTCTTAATAAATTATAAAAATATGGCCATAAAGGAATTATGCCTAACATGTTGATCAATGAATTCTTTGCATATAGTATAATATCTATGCACAAATAGGGTAATCAAATACATTGGTTAAATAAAAGACTGAGATCTCCAGAGTAAAACTAGTGACCCATTTTTTAAAGCCTTACACTCTACTGTTGTGAAAGTTGTAAACAGTTAGAGATTAGAGGAAAGAGAAAATTGTGTGAGCTTGAAAGGTCTTATCATGTTAAGATAAAGAGATACTTAGTGTCATCCTAGGAAACTAATGTAGGTTAATATACTGAAAGGGTAATTATTTACTTGGTGGTCTGTGAAGTAAAGCCTATGTATTAATTCAGACAGGATTTTTTAGTGCCTCATAACTGTCAGGCATGTGTACATGCATGAATGCAAAAATTTAAAGCATTTCTGTTGGAAATAACAAGGGTCCCTACCTCTTTTGCTGATTAAGAGGCTAGGTCTCAGGAGACATTTACTATAAGAACTTGCCTGAATTAACATTTCTACAAATGAAAATCTGACTACACAAAATCTTACCTGTAATGGAGAACACAACCACCATAAAATCAAAAATGTTCCATCCAATAGTGAAATAGTTACAATGGAAAGAGATTAGCTTCAGCACACATTCTGCAGCGTACAACACAACAAAAGTGAAGTTGATCCAGTAGAGGGCAGTGTCCATTTGTTCACTCTGTTCATCACTTTGTATCATAATCGTTATTGCTTGGAAGCAGATAAGAACCATAATGATGATATTAAAAACTCGACTTGTTACCAAGTCAAAGATGAATCTTCGGAACTTGTTCTGTGGGTAAAGAAAAAGGTGTAGTAGTCTTATTAATAGGATACCTAAACACATACATAGGCTTTAGATTTACAACTTTACTCCCAGCATGAATAGGAGAATGAATCAAGGCCTAAGTTTTTACCAAACTAGAATTACAGCATACAGTCAAAACAAGCAAAAAGACATCAAAAGTTTTGTCAAAAAACATATTTTTAAAATTTTTGTCAAAAGTGTTTGTTGTTGACAAATTTAAAACACATGTTTATTTAAAAGATGAATACATAAAGAGAACTTTTTTAAAAGCTTCAAAAGAAATTGACATGTTTTCTTACTCCTGGGCGAGGTGTTGATTTTAGAGAATCCTCATACATCAGCTTCTTCAGTGCATGGTATTGTTTTTTCTGCTTTCCTGTTATAAAGATATTTGAACCTCCTTGGTAAAGAAATGAAAGAAAATACATATTAATCACATTTAATCCAAATTTCACTTTATATTAAAATGCATTTTGGAAAGCTTGGCAATGATTGATTTAATCTTCTTAAAAAGTCTTAACTGCAATGAACTAAATCATAAACACATCTGACTTTCTGCAGAGAAATCCATATAAAACATACGTAGAACATACACTGGGGGCGATTGATATGCGATTATCTTTTGGTGCACTTTCCTGTGGGTAGTCAACCCTATTTAAACTTTTCAGTCTGCTGAGGCCTACCTCTTGCAGACTGAGACAAAGGAGAAATGGAATATCTAGAAAAGTTTACCTATTTGACCACCGACCTCTTTAACCCCATCTGATTAGTGGGAACTTGGAGTGGTTTGTTTACAAGATTTTCCACATGCCTAACTTGATGATACAGCTAAAGTTGTAACTTCAAAATAAAACTATTCTTTGATTTGTTAGGAGGCTTGCCTGTGCTAATTAGGTCCCTGTGGTTAGAATAAGCAGACTTTGATGAGTTTTGAGGCCTTTGCAATTTGTAGAAGCCTTGAAGGGAATATTTGTGTGTAGATGGCACCAATGGGCTGTCCGATTCTGCCTCTGCATTCTCTCTTATTCATGTCAAACACTCTTATTTAGGTGACCCAATCAGAATTTATGACTCTCTCTACTTTTAGCATAAAAAGCTACTCTAACTGAAAAAATATCTATGCTGGTTATGATTCTGAAGGCTTTGAAAATTTCAGAGAAGAAAAAACTGTGATTTGTTTTTCTCGAACTTCACATATTTGTGCAAATGCACAATGATTTTTTAGCATGTTATTATTTATGAACATACACACAGAAATATAAAATTTTTACCTTTTAAACTTGCCTGTGTATATTTGAATATAGAAAACAATGTACAGAATGAATATTTTAGTAATATTTATCAATATACAGGAACATCACTTGTTTTTTGCTAAGTACCAAATAAAAAATGACATTAAGCTGAACCCAAAACCAATTATTTGAACCAGGACATTTTTGTAAACGTGTTTGATTTTCTCAGGCATTGAATGAAACAAAAACCATTTATACTTATCTTTACTTTATGCTTGTTGAAATTAGCAATAATAACACCAACCAGCATAGTCAGAGGAAGAAATAATCCAATGATAACAAAGTTAATAAAATAAATATACATGTAGAGGTTGTCTTCAAAATTAGGCTGCATATCTACCTAAAAATTAAGTTAAAAAATAAGCAAAATCAGGCATAACGTAGAGGACTTACAAGGCAGTGAAAATACTCTATATGACATTGTAATGATGGGTCCATGTTATCACACATATTTCTAAACCCACAGACTGCACCACACTGAGTGAACCCAAGGTAAACTATGAACTTTGGGTAATTATTATGTAGCAATGTAGATTTACCCTTGGTAAAAAATACACCATTCTAATGAGTGATATTAATAATGGGGAGGGTATGCATGAGTGGAGGAAGGGGATATATGAGAAATACCTGTACCTCTCTCTTAATTATGTTGTAAACCTAAAACTGCACTAAAAAATAAATTCTTTTTAAAAAATATTTTATTTATTTATTTTTAGAGAGAGAAGGGAGGGAGAAAGAGAGAGAGAGAGAGAGAAACATCAATGTGCGGTTGCTGGGGGCCGTGGCTTGCAACCCAGGCATGTGCCCTGGCTGGGAATCGAACCTGCGACACTTTGGTTCGCAGCCCACACTCAATCCACTGAACTAAGCCAGCCAGGGCTAAAAATAAATTCTTTAAAAATAAAAATAAATAAAAAGTGAAAAACAAGGAAATATTGATACTGATCTTTTTAAACAAATGATTTATAAAACAATTTCTGACAAGAAAATCCAACAAATGCAAGCCCTGGCTGGCGTAGCTCAGTGGATGGAGCGCGGGCTGGGATCCAAAGTGTCCCAGGTTCGATTCCCAGCCAGGGTAGATGCCTGGGTTGCAGGCCATAACCCCCAGCAACCGCACATTGATGTTTCTCTCTCTCTCTCTCTCTCTCTCCCTCCCTTCCCTCTCTAAAAATAAATAAATAAAAATCTTAAAAAAAAAAAAAAGAAAATCCAACAATGCTACTTGAGACAATGTTTTCTCTTTACTCATTGGATTTCAAAGTTTATTATATTTCTTTAATGATTGTTAAGAAGTCTGATAATCCTTGAAATGGTCCTATTGGGGCTCACCCCATTTTATATAATCCTGAAACAATTTCATTGCCCATGAAATACTCAATATAAACTGTATTTAATTTTTGCCTAGCATAAACATTTACTTTTACACTGTTAATTATTGTTATTGCTAGTGCTCTGTTCTTGAATTACAAAAATGAGTTTGCTTATACATTAACAATGGCTTTAAATTATATTATACTTACTTGAGTAGAATCAACAGCTGAATTCATAATATCGATCCACCCATTAAATGTTGCCTATAAAAATGGCATGTATTTAATGTTTACGGAAATCTTATGTTTCATAGAAAATAAAAGTAAAACTCAGTCTGTTATTAATACAGTAATAAAACATTTGATTAGTAAGGCTCACCACACTTCAATATATTGTATAACTAAGATCTTTACCATTTTCATCATTATATTTATGTTGTTTGTTAACAACTATTTAAAACTACTTAGTGTAAATGTAGTTAATAAGAAATTTCTTTTAAAATAGTATAAAAAGAAATATAGGTAGAGAGATAGAGAAATAGTAAATAAATACATGCTGCCTGAGTATCATAGTTACTTGTAACTTCTCTCTATGTGCTTTTCTATGGAGAAACTGAGACAGGAATGGTTCACCTCCTCATGCCTACCAGATGTTGGGTAACTGAGTAGCTATTCCTCAGAGCACTAAGCAGAAATAAAACAGCTGGACCAAAAATTGTGACCCTATTACACGATCAGTGACAGAAACAGGTTTGGCTAGTAGCTGCTGTTTTCTCAGTCAGTGCTGCCTTCACCTCCACTTCCTTCTCCAAAAAGAACAGAAACTTTCACTTTCGTTTCTCTAAATGAACTTATTTATTCATAATATGTATCTTCTAATAAGTAATAGCTGAAATAATTAATAACCAGTTCTATTAATCTTCCACTTTTTTCCTCATGTTTACCTGCAATATGGATGAACATATAGTAGATAATAAAATCAAAAACATACTTACTACTTGAAGTAATGAAAGGAAACCATTTCCAACATTATCAAAGTTCAGTTTTGCATTCTCCCATGGCATGGATTCATTAAATAAAAGACTTTCACATTGACTCTTATTACTGACTTCATGTATAGGAAACCTTTCTCCTGTTGTTGGGTCAATGCATTCATAGAACTTGCCAGCAAATAAGTGGACTCCCATGATGCTAAAGGCCAGCCAGACCATAAGGCAGACCAGGACCGCATTCCAAGCGGGTAAAGTTGTTTTGATCAAAGCTCTCACAACCACCTGGCATATAAAAAGCAAACATGTAAACTTTAGGTAAGAAATGTGAAAGTATTTTTATTAAATTGGAAATACTAATTAATGTGATCTCATATTGAAATAACAAAAAAAGGCCATCTCTAAAGATTTAATAGGCCACATGCTGGTATTTAAATAACCTAAGTAACAAATTTCAATTAAAAATACACATTTAAAAATCTAGACATTCTCAAAGTGTTTTAGTAAAAAATCATTAAAAGAACAGCAGAGCTGATTAGTATAAATACTAGCATAATGAAGTATTTCACTGATTGAACAAGTTTATCAACCATTATGCGTGAAATGGGCAAGACAAGTGAACCTGTGTGTATGTATAAGATTATCTAGACAGGCTGTAAAATGAGAGCAAAACAGACTTAATTTGGGAGCATTCTACCCTTCAGGAGGAACATCCTATAAAGGAGAGAGGAAAGCAGTGGCAGGGGAAATAAGAGAAGACCAAGAAATTATAGATCAATGAAGTCAAGAGACTGTTTCAAGAAACACAGAATAGAGAGCTAGACCTCACAACATCACAAAACCCCTCATGAACCACTCTGTCGCTGGTGAGACACTCCACAGTGGAAAGTTGGGATGTGAATTCACCACTTAAACTTGAATGACAGCAATAGTGTATCACCATCTCCATTTCCTTAAGTCCCTTTACTCTTTAATATTGCAATCAAAACTTTATTCTCATCACTCCACTAATGCAGCTATGCAAATATAAACCAGTAGTTATAGCCAACAGAATATTTTCAGTCTTTGCCATTTCTTTATCTTCCACTCAGCATTCACACTTTTGAATCTCTTCCCCTCAATCACTTCATTTTCTCTTTTTTTTCTGAGGCACCATTGATTTTCTCTTATATGAGCCTAACCTTTCCTACCCTCAGCCATTACTGGATACATATATTTTTGCCTATACTTACTTGTTTGTATGCTCCTTAATTTTCTGGCCTTGAATTAATATTTTGACTTTTAATTGTGTTTTTAATAAGACTTTTTTATTTCTAAAACTAAATTACGTTCAGACAATTTACTGATAGGGGCATTTTTCCCCCTGCCCCCCTCCCCCCATGTATCTAAATCTATTTATTAGGGGAAAAAAAACCCTGGTATTATTCTATAACATTTTTTACAATGATAAGTAATTTATTTTAGTTTATTATTTCTCTGTGTGTGTGCTTCTCAGCTTCATGGGAGTATAATAAAGAAATAAAATTTGCATATATTTAAGGTATACAAAATCATGATTTGATATATGTATACATTATGAAATGATTACCACACTCAAGCTAATTAACACATCCATCACCTCACATAGTTGTTCTTCTTGTTTTTTTTTGGTGATTGTGAAAAAACTTAAGATCTCCTCTCTTGGAAAATGTCAAGTACACAGTACGATATTATCAACAGTACATAGTCACCATGCTACACATGACATTCCAGAGCTTATTCCTCGTATAGATGAAAGTTTGTGCCTTTGACCAACACCTCCCCATCTGTAACCCCCACCCACCACATTTTTACTTAATAGGTCATGTGTAGTTTATAGCCCTAGGATATTCTTTGAAATTTTTCTATTACTAAACAGTATTTATGCTGGAAATTTGGTTGTCTTGTCATTTTAATCTTACTCTTACAGACCTCTCCAACCACATTTTACTTTTCAGCTTATTTTTTTCCTTATTTTGGTTTAAAAGCAAACCCATGGGGGTAATGCTACTTTATGGACCTCCATAACATTCTTAATAAAATATTTCCTAAGTTATAATGTAAATTACAATTATAAGCTAATCAGGATTAAATCCTATTATAATGAGTCAACCAGATTCATATAAATTACAAAAATATTATTATCAATCATGTTCTCGCATATATATTAAATGTAATTAATATACGTAATAAACCCAGTTATATATGTGTATATATACATATATGAATACACATATATGAATACACATATATGATATAGAGGTGATAGGATTAAAATGTCTGCAATATGTTTTTTATAAAATTCACATTTTAAGTTTTTTTATATTTCTGTGTTGAATTTTTAATAATCACACAAACTTTTATATAAAAACAAGTGGAAAAATTCAAGTGTTATGGTTTCTTAATGAATGACAGTTTAAATGTAATGTATAGTGTATGTACTATAAAATAATACAGCTAAAACAAATAATTTTCTTACTGGATCCTACCTACATTGAATGTGGTTTTCTGTAATAATAAATTGAAAGGATAATGCTAAATAATATATGTAAATAAAAATGCAAAAACCCAAAAGTATAATTATGAAATAAAAGGTCAAATTATACTTTTCCTGCCATTTCTGTGTGCAATTGATCTTGGTATATCTATATAATTGTACTAATTGTGGTGGCCAAAGACTGTTTTTTCTATTAGGTTGAGCCACAGTATATTTCCTTTCTAGGCTCAAAAGATTGAACATTAGCCATTTTATGTGGTTCATCTTATTAGTTTCTCTCACATTGCTCAGAAGGGGTTTTGGCATGAGAGCGATGGAGATACAACTGGTAAGAATTCACAGTTCATGATGTGTGACTTTTAAAAAGCAAATATATTTTTAATTTTACTTAGTAAATAACTATTTAGTGTATACAATGTTCTTGTAATTTTAAAACTTAGCCAACTGATTAAAGTTTCAACTGCTGACAGTTAAATTTTTAATTTCAGATCATTTTATTAATACTCATACATATCCATGTGGATTAGAATGGTTTTACTTTTGAAAATATTTTCTCTCTCTTATGGACATGGACAAGAGTGTGGTGATTGCTGGGAGGAGGGGGTATAAGGGAACTAAATGGTAGTGGAAAAATATAATAAAGATTAAAAAAAGGAATATTTTCTCTCAACTATTGTTTTTTTTTGCTTATTTTTATTACTTTTCATATCTTATTAACAATGAAGACCTAAAATCCTAATAAGCATAAGCATAGCTAATATTCCTTTTTTATCTTTAGCAGAATATAAGGTTTTTGTATTAGTATTGTCAAAGATATAAATGAGAAAATTGCAAAAGTTTACATCTGAAAAATTTGGTAATCCTACATTAAAATTATAAATTAGTTTACAAACTTTCCTCTTACCTTCATTCTTTCAAACTGAGATAGAACTCTAAGCGCCCGAAGGAATTTAATGGAAGTAAGCGGTTTTAGTTCTTCCCGAGATTTGCCTATTAAGCTAAGACAAAACACCTAGATAAAGGAAAATAAAAAAAATTAATAGGATTTAATTTTAACTTTAACCAAAACAATCTATAAAAGGAACTTTTCTTTTATTACATAGAGATACATAGTCCAAGCCTACCAAGAAATATGCAAAATATGCTTTAATATGTATTTCAGTATATCTTAACAATGACTTATATAGAAAAGCATAAGAAAATCATTTTGTGTTAAGATCACTTAAAAAAAGATTAAAAAATTTTCTGGTTATGAGAATACATGTTATTGAAATAAACAAAATTTATATATTTGATACTGTCTATAGTTGATGATTAATAATTATATCTATTTTTAGTTTGAAATTAAATAAAATCAGCTTCATGATTATTTTTAATACAGTAATAGTATACAACATATTTATTAAAACAAAATTTGGAATATACTCACATATGAATCTATATATAAATAGTTAAGACAATATAGAGAATTAGATTTTACAGGAGAGTCATCAAGAAGGATGTGAATATTGTTATGTCCAAATACAAAGTACAGAAAGATAGTAAGGTAATTTTTTAAAGTAAGTATTTGCATAAAAATGATTTGAAGTTAATAAATGTTAATGGAAATTGAGCAAGGTGGTGGAATTAAGACTAACTTTTATTGTGCCTTCATATTTTCTGTATTTATAAGGCAACATGATGAAAAAAATTTTTTTATCCTATATTAAAGAGAAGGTCTTGAAGTAGCCTTTGAATATGGGTATCATTTACCTAAGCATGGTGAACTATGGGCACAAGAACAAGGAAGGTGAGTTGCAGTTTGGTTTGGGTGTAGTAGAAGGTTAATTTGAAAGAGTTAATTTAGAAGACAGAGGTCAGATATTTTAAGTTATTATTTATAGACTGAGATGCTTCAATCATTGCTTATAGAATTGGGAGCCATTTGTTTATTCAGCAAAAGTACTGAATACCTATCATGTGACTTAAATTATTCTAAAAATAGGGGATAAGGACAGAACCAATTTGAGGGGAAAAATCTGCCTTGATGGGGCTTATCTTTCACTGGGGCAACAAAGCAATAAGCAAAATCAATCAATAAATTATGTACTGTTAGTAGGTGCTTTGGAAATGAAGAAAGCAGAGAGAGGAAAAGGAAGTATTGGAGTGGTTGTATTTTTAAATCAGGTAATGTGGAAAGGCCTAACTTCAAAGTTTCATTTAAGCAGACATAAAAGAGGTGAGCCAGCAAAACTTCCAGGTGGATGGAAGAGTAAGTGCAGAGGCACTAAATGAATACAACCTTGGCATATATGAGGTGCTTCAAGAAGGTCAGCTGGTGGCACATAGACCAAGATGGGGAAAGGGAGAGTGGTGGGAGAGAAGATTGGATTATGTAGAGACTTGTAGAACTTTTATTCTGAGTGAGACATAGTATTTACTGGAGGGTTTCAAGAAGAGAAGTGATTTGAGCTGACTTCCATTTTACAACAGTAAAATATACATGATTGCTATGTGGAAAACAGAATGAAAATGTGCAGAGGTGGAAGCAAGAATAGCACTTTGGAATATATTGCAGTGATCCAAATGAGCATTTTTGGTTGCTTAGATCAGTGTGATACTGGTGCAGGTAATGATGACTAGTCTCATTTTGAATATATAATGTCAAATTTTTAAATGTTTCAGGATGCTGATATTTTCAAGATATTGCATAATAAGTCTGTCTTGTTAGCAGTGAGTACATATTTGATTGTTGGGAAACCCTCATGGCTAAAAGGGAGTAAAAAGACCTTGGGACCATAAGCCATTAAGGAGACAAAGCTTATCTTCTTTGTAGGGGTCCTGTCTCTGTCCTTTTACTTCACCTTGCTTGGCCTCCAGTGCATGACTGGTTAGCTAATGACAGGTAAGATTCCTCAAAGGAGGGATGACCTAAGACATCCATGGTCATGAAGGAGCCCTCAGGGAAGAACTTTGGGGGCTACAGGATAAGGGGGTAATGGACCCTCTCCCCTTGGCTTTGACATAGCTTCAGTCCACATTCTGTCTGCAAGAAGTCTCCTAATATCTTGGCTGCCTTACTTACCCTGACTAACTTAAGCCTGAAACAATGCTGGAGGTGGGTGTTCCCCTGTGCTGGTATGGGTGGGTTTCCTGGGGTGATGAGGCCTGAGAAAGAATGCATAAAATCCTATGAAACCTATTCCGCTAAAACCCTCAATTTAAATGATAAAGGACCAAGCTTGAAATGAGTTTGTTTCCCCAAAGTTTTATGGCCCTTTAACTATCTGACCCTGACTCAAAATAAGCCATCAGAGTTCTTTGAATGTTATCTATTGTTTGATCATTACTTCCTGACAATGATTGATGAGCTTTACGTATACACCCTGTATTCCTATGCAAATTAAACCTAGTAAAAGCCCATTGAGGAACTGGCTCCTGGCCCTTCTCCTTTGAGGGACTGGCCACATTTTCTCCCCAAGCACATCATGCCTTAGTAGACTTATTCTCATCTGTGGTGGTCTGGAGAGCCCTGTGGGTGGAGCCCTCCCACACTTGACTGTTAGAATAATCCAGGAAAGAAATAAGTGCAGAATTGTCAATTTTAGAATGAAAAGACAAGGATAAATATTAAACATTACAAATGAAAAAACATGGAATGTTGGTGATTAGAAGTGTACAAAGAGAGAACAAAAGGAAGATACAAGCAAATGGAATCATAAAAAAGTAAGAGCAAAAAAGAATCAGCAAATCAAATAGCTTAAATTATTTTTTAAATACGTACAATAACAACCATGAAGTCTAGCCTGTACCAGCCATTAGTGAAATAGGCTTTAAAACCATACGCCATCCACTTTAGAAGCATTTCCAGAATGAAGATATAAGTGAAGATCATGTCAGCATATTCTAATAAGATTTTAATAGTCTTTCTTTGATCGATATATATATCTTCAAAAGCCTATGGGAAAAAATTAAGGATTAGTGTACATATAATTTCTAAAATGCCTTTTGGCATGGCAGGGAGTAGAATACCATCTCTAGTAAGCAGATGGTGAGCAAAGTCATAGGTTATAGTCTCAAGGGCTGGTTAATTTTGCTTGGATTTATTCATATAGTCCCTAAGTATCATTTTCTGATTCTATGCCTGTAACAGACATTATTTGACCCTACAACCACTTCTTATAGAGATTGAATTTAATCTCATAATGGTTGTAAATAGTGATCCAATCCAGTTAAACTTAATGTAAGAGGCAGAAACTTCAGTCACATCTGATGTGGCTCTTATCTCTAATTCCATGTAGCCAACTCACAGATATACAGCACTTGCTAATAACAGACTAGATATTTTTTTAATGTTTTCAGATATCCACACAGTTACATAAGAAAGTGTCACAAACCTTGTTTCACTACAGAAATAATCAAAGTACACCAGTGGAAACATATAAATATGAAATAAAACTATAATAATTTATCCAAAGATTCTCATCTGGCAACCATTAAAATGCTCTCTGTACCAATGAGTCTGTTTCTGTTCTGCATGTTTTCTTTTCTGTTTCTGTTTCTTTTGTGTTTTTTTTTAGATTCATTTGTTTATATGTACTTATTATCATTTTATTATGCACATTTTTGATCTTCTTTTTCTTAAAGAAGATTCTTTAACATTTCATGTAATACTAGTTTGGTGTGGTGATAAACTCCTTCAGTTTTTTTTTTCTTTCCTGGGAAGCCCTTTATATGTTCTTTGATTCTAAATGATAGCTGTGCTGAGTAGAGTAATCTTGTTTGTGGGGTCCTTGCTTTTCATCACTCTGAATATTTCTTGCCAGTCCCTTCCAGCCTGCAAAGCCTCTGTTGAGAAAAAACTGACAGTCTTGTGGCAGCTCACTTATAGGTAACTACTTTTTTCCTTCTTGCTTTTAACATTCTTTCTTTATCTTTAACCTTTGGCATTTTAATTATGTGTCTTGGTGTGAGCCTCTTTGGATTCATCTTGTTTGGGACTCTCTGTGCTTCCTGGACTTGTATGTTTACTTCTTTCATGAGGTTAAGGATGTTTTCTGTCATTATTTTTTCAGATAGGTTTTCAATTTGTTTCTCTCTCTCTTCTCCTTCACGTACTCCCAAGATGCAAATGTTAGTACACTTTAAGCTATCCCAGAGGTTTCTTATACTATCCTCATTTTCTTATTTTTTTTCCCTTTTTGCTGTTTTGATTAGGTGTTTTCTACTTTTTTATCTTCCATATCTCTGATTTGATCCCCTGCTTCATCTACTCCATTCTCAATTCATTGCAATATATTCTTCATTTCAGTTAAAGTAGTCTTTGTTTCTGATTCTTTTTTATGTTTTCTAGTTGTTTTTGTTTTCTATCTTTTTGTTGAAGTTCTCACTAAATTCATCTACTCTTCTAAGTTCACTGAGTATACTTTTTCAGCAGTGCTTTGAACTCTATATCCAGTAAATTTCTGCTCTCCATTCTGTTCAGTTCTTTTCCATAATTTTTGCTTTATTCTTTCATTTGGGACATGTTTCTTTGTCTCCTCATTTTGGCAGCCTCCCTGTGTTTGTTTCTATGTATTAGATAGAGCTGCTATGTGCCCAGGCTTGGTAGAGTGGCTGTGTGTAGTAGGTATCCTGAAGGTTGCAGTGGAACAAGCTTGCCATTTACCTGATCTGGGCACTCCAGCTGCACCCCTCATGAGGCTGAATGCACCCTCCTATTGTAGTTGGGCCTTGATTGTTGTTGGTATATCAATGCAAAGGATTTATTCCCAGGCTGATCAGCTGGAAGAATTACCTTCAACCAGTATGCAGGATCAATAGCATAGCAGCTGACTCCACAGAGCAGGATTTATTTCATTGAGGCTTTTGTACCTGGTGAGTCCACCCTTTGTGTGTGTTGTTTGTGGAAGTGGTTGGGTGGTGCTTTGATGTGGTCTGAAGTTGTCTACAGGTGCACTGGCTCTGGATCCTCCAGGGAGGTGCAGACCAAGGTCAGTACTGCCTGTGTTCTGCCTGGGACCATCTGGAATGAGCTACAAAGCAATCTGCAGGTGGCTGCTACTTGTGCTGGGCTTGAAGGTGCCCAAAGAGGTCAACTGTGAACTGAGGTCAGCTGTTGCTAGTTCTGGTCCTGGGGGCCAGTTAGTGAGAGGCACAGGGTTCATGGAGGCCAGATGTTGCTTGTTTGAGAGATTTTAGGCAAGTCTGAAGCATGAACCAAGACAGGCCTTTCATATGAAAAAGCCACTAGAAACAGCTTGGATGCACCCAAAGGTTGGGCGGTGTGGAGTCTCAGGGAATCACCAGGGCAGGGTAAACAGTGATAGCCAGGTTGATGGAGACTCTATGTGGAGAGTGCTCTGAAAAGGAACAATGGCCAATGCCAGCACTTCTATCTGGGAGAAAGTTGCTCCTCCAACTCATGTCATGATGCATAGGAATTCAGTTCCTCTTCATATGTCCCTGGCACCTTTTGAGTTGCTGCCTCAGTGCTGGAGCTCAGAGCAAGTGAGTGAAAAATCTGTGCATGGAACCTTGAAGAGGATGGGTCCTTTAAGAGGAACACCTTGGACTCTAAGAGCTTCTGTTCCACTCAGCCACAGTGGCTGCTGTTTTACAGCCAGAAGTTACAAGGACTTCTCTTGTTAACACTGGAACCCTGGGCTGGGGGACTTGGTATGGGGCTGGTACTCCTGGCTCCTCAAACATGACCTCTGTCGCTAAGATATCCCTCCTGATTTTTATTTGCCACATGTGGATGTGGGATCAGCCTGTTCCATGTCTCCTCCTACCAGTCTCGGTATGGCTTCTTCTTTATATCCTTAGTGGCAGGGCTTCTTGGTCAGCTGAACAATGGTTTTTCTTTAGTTTACTTGTAATTTTGATGTGGTTGTAGAAGGATGTACCGCATTTACCTATGCTGTCTCTTCTTGACTAGAAGCCTAAACTTTGCCTTTTATATAAACCTTGATTAAAATAAGGAGAATGAAATATCTAGTTAACATTCCTTTTTTTCTACTGTCATTCATATTCTTTTAATAATGCATGTCTTTCAAAACTAAAATCACAGACTATGAATTCTGGTGCTATAATAAGTATCCTGGGGGAATCTAATTTGGTATGGTGACTTTATAAATTAACAGACTTGTAACATACTTTTACCATAAAAATCTTACCTACTCTCACTTACCAGAGCAGCTGTGCTGAGCAAAGTGACAAGGCCAATGAAACACTTAAAAAAACTGTTTTCTACTATCTTGCAGCATGTTTTCCTTATGTTTGGCCAAACTTTTCCTCTCTTGGATTCTCTACTGATTTGACCTGGTGAAGATCTTTGTTCATAACCTGTCAAGAATAAAACTGTTGAGAAAAAATCTTGGAATTCATGAAAAAAAATCCCCAAATTTCTACCATACACTCTCAATTATTTGTTGGAGTCTGCCCTGCCTGGTCTCAGGAAGCTGTAACTCCCTGTGACTTAGGCTGAGTGAGAGACGTCTGGACCAAGAGACACCAAGGAGACAAAACTTATTTCTCTGGCATGAATGCTGCCTGTTGTGTGTTGGTCCCCAATGCTTGATTAGTTAGCCAATGACGGGTAAGATTTCTCATGGTGGGGGGAATTGCCTAAGACAGGCATGATCATGTGGAGGCCTTAGGGAAGGACTTGGGGGGCTGTGGAAATGAAGGGATAATCGACATCAATCCCTGCCCCCTTGGCTTTGTCAAAGCCTGAGTCCTTGTTCTTAGTTGTGAAAAATCCAAGTCTCCTGGCTGCCTTTGTTTCCTCTGCCCAACTCAGGCCTGCAGAAATAACAGGGGCAGTGCAGTCCAGACCAGAGTTGGTGGATCCCCGGGGTAATTAGGCCTGGGACATAGAATATGAAAGATCCTGTGAGATCTGCTTGCTGGAGGATGCTCTTTAATTAGAATATGAAGGCACAGACAGGAAACCAAAACTAGCTTTTTAGGTCCTGTAGTCTTTTTAAATGATAAAACCCCAAAATCTCAGCCCAGAATCCCAGCAGGAAATCTGCCAGCCCCTTTGAAAGCTAATACTTGTTTTATCTTCCATGTCAAACTATAATTCACAAACTGTATCTGTATTCTTAATAACTGGACAGGAAAATGGGGTGCTCTCCACTAGAGAGAGAGTGGCCATTTTGTACTTATTTCTCCCCAGGACTCGGCTGTCCAAGTGTATGTTTTTCTCGTATTTTGACAAGCATCTGCAGTGATGCACACTGCTGGCCGGTATCCGTCTCAATTATTTATTTACAGAATGTAACATAGGTAGTCTCTGACTTAAAAATATTTGATTTTTACCCTTGCTGTACTGAACACACATAAAAATACACACATACAACATCTTCTGAATATCACATTTTGGTATAATGCCTGGAACTTTTATTCTCTAAAGATTCACATGGCAAAACAAACATTCCCATTTAGATTCACAGACATGTATGAAATATTAAAAGGTATAATATCAGTTAAGTCAGTTAAATTAATTTCAGTTATTAGATGGTATTGGAAATAGGAATCTTGTTTGAGATTCTTTAAGGAGCAGCCCTGGGTTATGGAATACTTTGTGCATAGGGTATATGCGCATGGGATTTGGACTCTAGCTTTTGGTCAAGAGAGTTAGCATAAGGAAACCTAAGGATAATGGAATGATTAGCCTGTAAGAAAATGAGGAAATGAAGGTGGGTTTAGTTATTTTAGAATTTTATTTAATGTCAATTTATATGTCTTTGGTTAAAAAAATAGGAAATACTTCTTTCTTTGTTTTGGATGATACAAGGTCTACAACTCAAGCTACTGAGAGCAGATTCTTACTTTGACTATAAGAATTTGAGCATTTAACAGTTTCCATTTTGAAGATCTCCAGTGATTTCAAATGTCTAGACCTTGTAGTCATTTGTTCATCTTTCTAGGAAATTAACTTTAATTATAAGTTATCAAGAGATATATCTTACATATCTAGTGAGTCAACCAACTGAAGCCTTATATATTTGTTAATATTCATGTGGTATGCAAAAATATGTCACAATTACAAGATTTTTTCTATGAAAATTGTAAGATGTTTTCATATGAGTATTTAAATGTTTACTCCATTCCAAGAGGCAAAAAACTACATACACACATAACCTTTTTAAACAATAAGGTAAGTTTTATCATTATCTTCAGTGTACACATGAGGAAGTGAGTCAGAGAGAGGAAAATAAAAGTAAAAGACTGGGATTTGAACCCAAGCTGCCTGATTCCAGAGCCCATACTACTATATTAGACACCCTCAGAAATAGGTTCTTTTCCTTTTTTCCAAATGTTGACTTTTTCTTGACATTTATTTTAACTTTCTATCAGGATTCATGTGGGCAGTTGCCCATATGTGTGCACACACAGTGTGTATTCCTCAAGCAAATTAATAAGTTCTCCAAAATTAAAAAATATATCTAATAGTATTATTTAGTTTAAATGAAATTTAGTCTAATTTCAATATAATAATCCAGGGAACTTTTCTCTTACTGTTTTTACGATGCTTTGGCTTTTCATGTTCATAGATCATTTCTTCTTCAGAGACAGCGATATCGACTGTACTGCATTCAGATGAGCTAGATGGCTTTACTTTCTGAAAAGTAAAGTCCCACCAAAAATGTGAATAAAGTTCCATTTACTCATTGTAGTTAAAGTTGACTTCACTTTTAGAAATAAGAAAAATTATGCACACAAAGACCATTATTGGGCCAAGTTCATGATTGATGTTAAAGTGCGTATATATCTTAATGAGCTGATGGTTTTAAAAATTATTTTTTAAAATTAATTTAAGATAAAATAATTTCATATCAAATGTAACATTTAGTTAACACTGTTGTCCCAGATAATGTATAGGCTATCTCGTTTTCAAAAGTGTTTTGAGTTCCTAAACTTTCCTGAAGTTATTCATAAGGTCTTAGTATGCTATTTCAAGTAATGAGTAACATCAGAATAAATTACCCCTTTATGTTAAAGATGGGTAGACAAGTATACTTAGTATTTATTATAAATTCCATTCTAAACATGTACATATATATGTCATCATAGGACAAGATTGATGTGATGTTATCTTGAAGTGAAATGAAGAAATGGTACAAGGAATATGGTCAAGAATAGACATGAGAAAGTGGTACCAGCCCAATGGAAAGAAGTTAGTTGCAAACATTGGTTCTGTTCTTGACTGAAGTTCAAGCCTGGCAATGGTAAGGTACTCAGGACTTTGTACATGTGCTAACAATGCAAGTGATATGCTTGGAATGATTTTCTTGAAATGACTTGAAATGATTTTCTTAAAATGCTTTATTTTGCTTTACTTAAAGTGAATATAGAGCATACCATCCTTTAAAATTACTGAAATCCTAAAGTTAATAGCTTAAAAATTATTTTCTAATTTTAAAAATTAAGTATTTAAAACATTTGGAAGCAACACAATTATTTCTTAAAAATTAAGGAAAGCTTTAGGTAGATTATGTAAAAAAGAAATTATAAATATTTTGTCCTAATTCTTTGTCTTGTGCACAAGAAGTGTCAATGAAATATAATTAGGAATTTTGTTTGCTTAAACCTTAATGATAATTGTCAGTAATATATTATAGTGCTCAATTTAAAAAAAAATATGTCCATGTGGTATTTTTCTTTCATTGACTGGCTTATTTCACTTAGCATAATATTCTTCAGGCCCATCCATGTTGTTGCAATGGGTAAAAGTTTCTTCTTTTTTACTGCTACATATTGACAAATACCACATAATCTTACTTATATGTGTAATCTAGTGAACACAATAAGCTAATGAATAAAATAGAAATACAAACATAAGCACATGTAACAGACTGACAGCTGCCAGAGGGGAGGAGGTGGACTGGATGAAAGATGGTGAAGGGATGAGTCAAAGAACATTTATGCATGACCCCTGGACACAGACAATGATATGGAGATTGATGGAGGGAGGGGAAAGGGTGGAGCTAGGTGGAAGTGGAAAAAGAGAAAAGAAGCCAGACCAACTGTAATAGCATAAACAATAAAAAATAAATAATTAAATTAAAATATAAAAGCAGAATATTACTATTAAGTAAATAAATTATTTTATTACTTCATTTATCTTAAATCTTTATTTCTGATGAACTAAAGGCTACAGCAATGCAATTTTCAAAGTAGAAAATAAATAAATAAATATATAATATTTGGGCATTTGATAATTGAAAATTTTATACCTTATATTTATATGTTTTTAGAGGTCTCAAGCTAATTGCATATAAAATTCTTGGTGTAATTTTTCCTCAATCTCTATTATACATTATTTTAAATTTATAAATAAATCAATTAAGATTCAAAGTTATAAATAATTTATTGTAGTAGTTGATTAATGGCATGAGAATATGACTATGATCAGTTGTGACCTTGTGAAAGTTATAAAACCCAATGTAAAGTTTGATGTTATTTTTATAAAATTTATATAGTTAAATACTTATAATCAACAAGGCTGAAAGTTTAAATAGCAAAAATTTAAGAGTATATAACTCTGGCCCTGGCTGGTGTGGCTCAGTAGATTGAGCAATGGCCTACAAACCAAAAGGTCGCTGGTTTGATTCCCAGTCAGGGCACATGCCTGGGTTGTGGGCCAGGTCCCCAGTTGGAGGTGGGTAAGAGGCAACCAATTGATGTTTCTCTCCCACTCTGTCTCCTTTCCTTTGTCTCTCTCTAGAAATGGATAAATAAAATCTTTAAAAAATAGTGTATATCTCTAAATTATCAAATCACATGTGATATTTATAGTTTATTCTTTGGCTTTTGGTAAATTAAGATCCTAAATATTCATGGCCTATGTAATTTGGAAAGTATCTAATCAAATTAAGTATATAACTAAACATACAAATAAGTGAACAAATCTATGAGTAGTTAAGCAATCAACAGGACTAAACAATTATGCAGAAATAAATTACAACTTCTGTAACAATATTTACATACTAACAATATGTATTTAACAATATTTACAATCATATTTAATTCCTTCTTTCCTTTACATTTCTATATCCCAGACTTTCTAATGAGATTTGGAAAGGGGTTTCCCAGAACATCTTGACATGATATGCTGTGACAAACAGAAATTTTACCTAAAGATGGATGGTCATCAAAGTCTTAAATGAAGATACAGAATTGTGCTGGAGAGGAATTTTCCCTATTGTCTCATAATGATCTCAACTAAAGGAAATGAAACCAAGAATGGGTATGCTACAGAGTGAAAGTTTCTCCAAAACAAATATAACTTCACTAAGAGCTGGAAAGACTTTGAAAAACTGAAACTTGACTTCTACTATAATGCCAGTTTCACAATTATTGCCCAGAGCAGCTGTCAAGCCAGAAAAGGTTTGGAAAACAAGATGGTGCCAGAGAATTTTGGAACCTAGAAAGAGACATTCTTTGATCTTCCCTCCCCAGTGTCTATGAGTGATCTGAGATGAGTCCCTAGTGAGGCCCAATGGAAGAAGCCTACAGTGTGTTGTGATCTATGCAGATGTAGTTTTCTGTTAAACTACATCTCCTAATAAGATGGTAAACTGCTTGCAAATGAAGACACTAAAACTGTATACAGTGGAGTATATGTATACATGTGAACAGCAATATCTACCCTTCTTTGAATGTCTTCTTTTTTTGTTCAGAAGTTTATAAAGCAGATGAAACTGTTGATTTCTCTCTATTCTTTTAGTCCAATTCAATCATTAATACATAAGTTACATGTTGCTGAAATAAACTGACAAGAATCTTAAAATTTTAGCAAGCAAGAAAGTATCTTAGCTGGACTAAGGTACTGGACTACTATTATAGTCCTATCTCATCTTTTAAGGATGCCTGAGAGTTTAATATATCTCCAGTAATACATATTGATTTTGAAAACAGTTTTTGTTAGTATGCCTTTCATCACCCCACATTGTCTGCTTATTAATTTATAAGATTCTATATTTATATTATCTAATGTTTACAAAGTGCTTATTATATAGGGCATTGTATGCACTACTTAACTATTGTTCCTAATTTTTCTACTTTCCCTTAGAAATAGATACAATTTTATCCTCATCTGTAAGCTGAAGTTCAGAGAAGTTTGAGAAACTTAATCAGGAGCATAAAATCAGAAGCAAAGAGTGCTATTGCTAAGATTGAGTAAGTAATCTAACTCTGGAACTTCAGTGTTGATACACTTTCTTATCAACAATACCATAAATCAATAATAAGCAATTAGAATATTGAATATCTTACCTCTTTGCTGCTGCCATAACCAGACTTGTTCTGAATCTCCTTATTATCCAGATTTTCTACATCAGATTCTCCTGAAGCAATTGGTACAGTTTCAGAAACAGTAGGGCTGGAGATAAGTGACTGATTTGCATTTTCAGTCATCGTGTTTTTCTCTGCGCCACTGCTTCTTTCCTTGTCCTTGAGGAAATCTTGGGTGGTGCTCAAGTCAGAAAGGGTGTGGTCAGAAATATTCTCTTTAACATATATATCATTTGCACTGTCCACTGTGTCCTTGGGAACATTTTGTCTTTTACATAATATTTTAGAAAGCACATAATGTATTCCTTTCTTAATCCTTGCCATTGCACGCTGGAGATTTTTTGCTTCATCATTCTCTTCAATTGTTGTAGCACTGTATGAACTAAAGGAGGTCACCAATGCCAGAAACAGGTAAAGTATCTAAATGAAGAAGTAAATGAGGTGAATGAGGTGAAACGCATCTCATTTTTGTTTCCTTTTAAATAATAAAAAGTCCTTTAAAAAGGCTGAACTGAGATTTGAAAATCATATGAACTACCATACTATTCGGTTCTTACTCATTTACATAAAATATGTATGAAATATTTGTTTCTATTTTATAGAGGAAAAAGGCAATGTTTACAGATGGCAAATATCAAAGATCATGCACATGGAACTCAAGTCTCTCATATTATTCCAAAGCTCGTTTTCTTTCACAGAGCCAAGAGGCCTCTCCCCAGGTGAGAAAATGAATTGCTGCTCCAGGGGGCTGACTTCACTTCAGCCCCATCCCAGGAAGAGGGCTAATGACATCCTCGTGGGTTCTGCAAACCCATAAGGAATCTCACGGAGAGAGCTATTCCTGGTTCTGGGGCCCATATCTAATTTGTACTGAGTGATATGAGCACAGGATTGGACAGGTTAATCGATTATTTGTGGTAATACGTTTGGTCAAATAAGAAAGAGATGAGTGAAAGAAGTATTACTAACACCTGCAAGTTATTCAAACTCAGGGAGAGTATATATTTTGATCTTTATTTTCACTGAGAAATATGATCAAAGCATGTTCAGTTTCCAGAGAATCAGATTTTTATCCTCTTTATAATTGTAGGGTATAGATGATATTTTTAGATTCTAGTGTTGAAGATTCATATTGATTATTCTCTTAGGCTTAAAGTGATAATTTGAGCATTTTGCCTATTATGGAAGTTTCCTCTCCTCTCCTCAGATATTTGAGTTTAAGATTGTTAATTTTATGCTTTACATATTACTTTTAGAGGGCAATGTTCTAATGACATGCATATATGTTCAAATGACACACACACACACACACACACACACAAGTCCTTATTTAACATCGTCCACAGATCCTTGGAAACTGCAACTTTAAGGGAAACAACATGAAACAAATCCAATTTCACTGCAGGCTAATTGGTATAATAAGAGCTAAGTTCCTACAGCATATTTCTGGTCACAAAACATCACCAAACTTCTAAATAAAGGCCTAAAACATTTCTAATATTAAACAATGAAATAAATGTGAGCTACACATACATTTAAGAAACATTAATACAAATAAGACAATTATTTTCCAACTTGCTTATTCCACTTCAGGGTCATAGGTGGGTGGCTGAAATGACATGGAGTGAAATGACATTATTGGAGGCACTGCTGTATATGTAACTCATAGAAGTCGTTCCTGCCTATGTTTCTGATTTCTTCACACATTAGGATCTACTATTAAAATAATTATACTGACAATCTATGTGTATATAAGGTAAAATAAGTATATAAAAATCTCCAAACACTCATTTGTTAAAACTTCTTTCAGAATACTGGGTCTATGTGAAGAGATGAAGTTCTTAGATACTCTGATAATTACTTTCTCATGCACACACCTGAGAAAATATGAACTGCCCACCACGTAGTGTTCAATCCTAATGGACCACTTTTACTTCTCTATAACTGTATTTTCATACACATGAGAATAGATAAATTTCAAATAAGACTTATATGGGAAAATCAAAGTATTATTGCACATACTAATGTCATCAAATACATAACCTTAATCTCAACCATATTTTGGTGTAGCGTATATAGAATGTAGAGTATAAAATGGCTCAAAATCGAAAATTTCTTACAGGTGAAATTATCTGAACAATCACATATTTTCTATACCCTACAATGACAGAGTTTCAGAAGGCAAATGGAAAAAAAAAAGGAAACAAAAGCAGAACTGGAAATACAATGATCAAATGCTAATACCCCAGAGATTTGTACAATTGTTCTCATTCTAGATTTTGTTTGACAACAAGGCTTACTTACAGATTATGTGAGCAGGGGCTCTATGACCCTTATAGAAACTACACTATTAATACCTCTATCATTTTCAAAGGACAGTAAGTTCTGGATATAAAAGAGAAAGGCCAAATACAATTTAAAGTAGTTGGTTGTTTCTTTTCCCTCCTTTGTTTAGTTAAGTATTAGGCATGATGACAAGTAAGGCAAGGGTGTTTCAGTAAAAATGTCAGGACTATAATCCTCATTTGACCAGGAACCACATTTTCTCTTAAGTAGACTGGACTAGGGCAGTGTTAGGCACAATGTGAGTGACAAATAAATATTTGTTGGAAAATTAATTAATTAATTAGAATAAATAAAAGAATAGATTCTGTGCCAGAATTTGGACAAGTAAAAATTATGCCACAACAATTATATTTTTGAGAGTTTGCAATTTAAGCTTTCTTATATTGTAGGCATACATACACACCTCCAAATGTATATGACCCCCACATACATACATGCATAAATACCTATATAATAGCAATGTTAAAAGGCTGAATATAAAGTTCAAAGTACTCTGGAACTGTGGTACAAATGAATTTTTAAACAATGTAAAATGCTTCTGCTCTGTTTGATGTGCTCTGAATTAAAAGTAGCCTAGTATCTTAAAGGATTAAAAAGGAAAAGAAAGATGTTTTCTTTTAAATGATTAAAGCTGGAGATTTGACTACCTTTAATTTGAGGATTAATAAAGAAGTGGGAAACACATAAATTATATTGTATACAGGGTTACTTTCTTTCAGTCATAGTCCTATAATGAGATTCAAAATACTTTTTTATTGCTTTTGTGTTTGCAGGTAAAAGGTGAAATGATGTATATAAAACAAAACATTCAAGTCTCCCCTCAAATTTGCTTTCCTCTCCTTTTACTTCAAAGATATCTACCTATTGTGTGAGCATTGAGTAACTCTCAGTTATTCCACACTATATTATTAGTATGGAAGAAGAAGAAAATCAAGGTTTACTTAAGTATTTTTCTGATTAGTGTTCAAAAAATTTAAATGTATCAAGGCTCTTTTATTTCAATATTGTTTTGATTATATCTTAACATATTTAATTTGGAAATATATAAATACAAATGGAATAACATACATTTTATGATAAAATTTTTATTTTTAAAAACAACTGAATTTGACTTCAGGTGGTAAACACACAATATAATATACAGATAATATATTATAAAATAATACATTTGAAATTTATATAATTTTATTAACTGATGTCACCCTGATAAATTTAACAAAAAATAAATAAAGAGCGACTGGATTTTACATTGTTTTCTATCTCTTTTCATGCTTCTATCCCTCTTTGGTTTTTGTGACCTTAACCAGATACCACAATTTACTTGGTGACAACTACTTAAATTGCAGGCAAAACATCTGGAAGGTACCTTCTAAAATTCTATAGATGTGGGAGATGTAATTTTCTAAAGGCTAACGAAAGTAAAAGACATTTATGAATATCTATAATGTGCTAGCTGATTTTATTTAAATTGCAATATCCTTATGGCATGTATTATTGTTTTGTTGATGCTCCTATTAGATGTTGTCAGGGTTTAAGCGGTTGTATAATATGGACAAAGTTGTTTAACTGGTAACTAATAGAACTGAAATTTGAACCTATGTTTGCCTAGATCTGAACTCTGTATTTTTTTTTATAACTCAACACTGTTGAAAAGGCACTTCAGATACTTGCTTTTGTATATGAAGAGGTTCTAAAGGCTTCCACTTATGCCTCTGAATCACTATTGGAATTTTGCTGAGTAAATAAGATAAAATTAAATTTAAAAATTCTGAATACCTTCTTTTTATACTAAATCTGTAGTTTTGGTGTGGAATTACAATGCTCTACTGCAATGAGTTTGAACTATGTGGGAAAAACCTACAACTTCAAAAATTCTCTCCTTGCATTTTTACCTTGTATTTACTCGACTGTCATCATAATGCCCCATAGCTGGATGACTACTGAGGGCCATAAGGCTTAAAAGATTTAGGAAGCCCAGCAATATGATGGCCAATCAATTAGCTGTGGAAGAAGTTGATGCAACTCTTTATCCTGAAATGCCTCTGCCCATAGACTTAAAGTTTCTGATCAGTAGGAATAAGAAAAATGAGAACCAGGGTGGAATCCAAAACCAAAGAAAAGAAATGAAATTACATAATTACCTCAGCATTTCTGTTTCTTTGGTTTTGATTGTGTGTGTGCAGGTGGGTTGTTCACCTCGACATCCATCAGTCATAGACCTTTCTTTGGGAATGGAAACACACATTTCATTTGGAAAACCACCTGTACCCCCTTATTTGGGTTTGTATTGACACCATCTCTACCTTTGAGAGAACTCTAAGTGGAATAACAGTAATATATGTTAATATATTCCACACCCTGGGCAATAGAGATTGGTTCAGAAAGGAGTAACTCAGAGCTAATGAGATAATAAGAAAAACTTGCTGGGGCTTCTAGGAAAGAAATAGGAATTTTGTCTTCTATTAGACTTGACATGATAGAAAGACATGAAGCTTTAGAGAAGCAGCCATCTTGCCAAAACAGAGGATACCAGTCAGTAAGAGGCATAGAAGAAGGAAGATGTGAGATGTTATACAAAAACCTGTTTCTAAAGATCTTGTTTGCACATATGGGTCAACTGAAGTGAAATCTCTGATGTTCTGCATTACATGTGCTGATGTATATGCTCATTTTTGTTTTAGTCAGAATGCTGTTTATGTTGTGTAGAGTTGAAAATGTACTAACAGCTACAAAGACAGAGGATATTGAAGTATGTTTACTTATTGGGCACTATTCTGGACTTTGCTGATATAGACAACTGTCTTGATCCCACCTTTCAAGGAGCAGTTTAAAAAGAAAGATAGACAAGTATGTCAACAATGAAGCACAGCAGTAATGTGATAAGTGTATGCCAGGAGCTATGACCAGGGTGAACACAAGCAGCAAGGAAGGCTACCAGTACAATGGAGTCTAACGGATGATTTTTTTTTCAGACTTTTGGGAAATGCACTTAATCTATCACTTATGTAAAAAGCAAATATTGAGTCCTGTTTTCTTTCCCTGTAAGAACAATTTTCTTTTATAAGCCATTCCTTTTCTTAGGAGAAGTAATAGCTACTTACTCAATTCATATAGCACCACTTCAATTATGGAAAATTTAAAAGTGAAAGCTTTCTCTTTTAGTTAATGCATAACAGTTTTACAGACCAGTGTATCTCAAACTTTGCTGCACAATTTAATTAAACAAGGATTCTCAAAAAATCCTGATGACCAGGCTATGTCCATGTACCAATAAAATTAGAATATTTGGGAATGGGTCCCCAAAATTAGTATATTTTTATTAATACCCTAATATGTATCCAAGTTTCATAATCAGTGTTATATTTAAGTGCTTCTTAACATTTAAAGTGCATACCAATCACCTGGTGATATTTTTAAACTGTAGATTCTGCCCCTATAGCTCTGGGATAGGGTCTGAGGCCTGCACTGACAACTATCTCCCACATCATGCCAAGGCTACTTTGAGTAGTGAGGTTGGAAACCAGTGCCATCCAACAGAAGCACGAACAATGCACATCAGATACACAAATTTTCAGTAGCCACATTCAAGGCATAAACAAAAAAGGGGTGAAATTATTCTGCTAACATTTTATTTCACTAAATTTATAAAAATATTATCCTTTTAACTGTAATTCAATATAAAATTATTAATGAACTAATTTACCTTTGTGGGGGGTGAGACTTCAAATTCAGCAGATGGTTTTTTCACTTAGGGCACATGTGAAATTAGACCACTCACATTCCAACTGATCAACGGCCATGTGTGGCTAGGTGCTACCATACTGAACAGCGCAGTTACAGACCACTGGATCCCACAAATAGACATCATGAAAACACTAGAGTATACTACATCAGTTTGCCAAGGAAAACTTAAAAACATGGATTACTTACCAGTAAGTTTCCAATTAAAATGACCATCATGTAAAAAGGAATACAACTGAATTGGCCTGCTACGTTAAAGCAGTCCCACAAAGTCTCTATCCACTCTCCACAGAGAATCCGGAACACATTCAGGAAGGAGTGGAAGAAATCAATCATGTGCCAGCGTGGGAGCTGACAGTCTTCGTCTAAGTTGCACACACATTTCTGATAACTGAAACCAAACAGCTTCGTGCCGACCACGGCTGAAAAGAACACGAATGTGAACAGCAGCAGGATCAAGTCTTTCAAGGCCACCAATGAGTTATTAAGAGTCAGCATCAGAATCTTAAATGTCAGCCAGTATTTCCCCAACTTAAAAATTCGCAACTTGTAGATCAATGTAAAAAATAAGAATAAGAAACAAAATTTTAAAAAACTTGGTTACTATTTATTGTGATACACATTTAATATTTTTATCAACATTGTATACATTCACATATATAGTCTTTAATGTAATATTCAGTTTTGAGCATTGTTAAAAGTACTGAAAATTCATTTTATGTACAATTCTTAGTACATCACATATATTCTATAATGTTTTACATGAAATCCATATATGAAATAGATCCTCTTCTATTGACCTGTCAATGCCCATTCAATAATATACTATTAAAATTTCTCTAGCTATATGTTTCAATACCTGGTAGGGCAACTATCCATTCTCTGTTTTTTTTTTTTTTACAATATATCAGATATTTTTCCACATTCCAACATATAGATAATATTGAATAAGAACTTGTCACTTTTCACTGAATTCCACTGAAGGTTCTACTGTGCATTTCCCTTTGAAAGTAACACATTAAAGTCCAAACACAACATTCTAGTTTTAGTCTGAATATTTCCCTCCTATTCACTAATTTATTTTTATTTCTATGGATATAGCACAGATTACCTTAATATTTTAGCCATGATATAAAATGAACTTAGTCATCTGAAATCCATACATCATTTTTATATGTGCTATACCTTCTCTAACTTTCTGGACTAAAGAATAGGACTTTATATTTATCCACATAAAACTTAATTATCTTATATTCAGTCCATTAGTAGCCTTTCAGATATTTTGATCCTATCTTTGATTGCATTTTCTGTATTTCTCAGTCTTGTAGCATCCATATATGGTGGTAACTGCATCTTGTATATATTTCTCTTATCTCACTCATTAGAAAAGTTTGTGTATGAGGATTTTAGACAGGTTGTTCTTGATTCCTGCTTCATTCTGTCAACTTGTTATCAAAATCTGACAATATATTACTTGTCAAAAGCCTAAGATTTTCATTATAATCATTCTAACAACAATATTTCATTGCCTAGTTTTCTGATTCTTAACAACTACCCTTCACTGCAGATATACACTGATTCTGACTTAATAATTTTTATAATAACATTCTGCTGGTCTCATTGATGTTATAAAGTTTTCCATCCTACATTTAGAAATACCTGATTCCAGTTTCTTAGTTACACATTAACATTCAGCTTCTGGGGCTATTCATTACCATGCTCCTCAAAACTGGCCCAATACTGCTGGCCCCGATCCCTAGAACTCACATCTCAAATGCTACATATATGGCTTATTTCCTTTAATGTTTCACCTAAACAATAGCATTGGAGACTCTTTCCTGGGGCAGTATTAACTCATGTCCCAATGGCATTATTACTATTCTTCCCATTTCACATCTGAAGAAATTGAGATAAATTTTCATAAAATAAAATTTAGGTCTTGGATTCTACTTACCACTTGGAATGAATGAAAGAAAGACAATCCATAAACACTTGTTACAATAATCTCTGCTAAACCATGGAACACAATTAGGCTGTCATAAATGTTCCAACCTACTTGGAAATACCTATACGGATGCATAGCAATTATTTTTAAAATCATTTCTGTTGTGAAAATTCCAATAAAAACCTAAATGAAAACAAAACACATGGATGAGAATGTGATTTCAATAGCTCAATCAGAACCCTCCTGCATGAAAACTGTAACTTTTCAATGTTACTATGTTGCTCATAGTTCCTCTGTTAATATCTGATTAGTTTTGGATTCTGTATTACAATAGACTCATACATTTTATTTAAGAATCTAATATCAAACATTGTATACAAAATCTTCAATTATTTTTAAAAGCTAGCCTGTAAGAAAATAAAAGAAAATTTGAGGGTAAAAATCTTTTCATTTTTTATAGTTCCTTTTGGTTTATGGAATATTTAAGATATTTAATTTTTCAACTTGTAAAAGAATGAAAGAAGTACATATATGACCCCTGCAAAACAACAACAACAACAACAGAATAAGCCTATAAAAACTGTCTTTTGAAAACTATATTGGCAATAATAACTAAACTATGGTTTTGGTATCAAGTAAATGTATAATTCAAAAATGGTAGCAGTTTGGCTATTTGTATGAATACCAAGCAACTAAACAATAAGAACACTAATAAAAGGAAAAAACATCAAGCACTATATATTTGTTTAAATGTGACTTGTTTTTAAATTCATAGAAATGTTTTGCCTCTTGCATTGTATGGGATGAAAAGGATAGGTGAATCCCAATAATACCTTGCTACAAATAAGCTCCACTCTAAGGCAAAGACAGGTGGTGAAAGTAGACAGGGTCAGGTGCAGTTGCAGTCGGGATTCAGAATCAGGTGTCAGTGAAGAACTTGTATCTGTTGTTTGACTCCTGCCCTACTCTGATCTATTGGGCTATGTTACCCAGAGAGGGTATATGTGGGAAGAGAGAGGAAAGAAATAATTTCCACTTAACCAGACTACCAAGCAGCTGGAGAGAAATCCTAAATTTAAATGACAGAATTTTAAACTCTAAATATAAACCTATTCAGTGATAAAAACATTTATAAATCAAGGCTTGGGGTGGTGAAGTGGGAAAGCATAACACAATACTCTATCTAGTGATTATGTAATACATTTGTAATATATTAGAATTATAAAATAATGGGATGATGATGACTTAAAAAATTGAAATTGCAAGTGAAAATAATGTAGAGTAAGAGCCTTACCTGGTTTCCAATGCGGAGTACATTGATGGTTTCTTCATTCATTGGGTAACATTCCAAGGCCAAAAAAAATATGTTTAGAATTATGCATATAGTTAGAAAAAGATCAGTAAATGGGTGTGTTACAATCACATGGACAAACTCTTTCAATTTTAACCAGCAGGGAGAACAATTCCAGATCAGAATCATTTTAGCAAATTTATACCAACACAAGGGACATCTCTTCCGAGATTTTTTACATTCTGAAATGAAAGAAAAGTCAAGCCTAAGCAAGTTGTTTATTTAAGTTTAACTGACAGAAAATTTTCACTTTGCATGCAAAAAGAGATTTGAAAGTAAACTTCTGATATGGAATTAGCAAAGAAATATTTTACACTAATAAAAATCAGAGTAAAGCAAATTCCCTCTATTTTGTTTATGCTTGCTGAATTGGACAAATAAAAATGAAACAAACTGTATACTAGACGCAAAACATAGGAGCATCTGCCGAAAAAGCACCCAAATAGGAATATAGTTGAGAGTATCACAATTTATGATTTCTAGATTTATTTGTTTTACAAAATAATGTCTTTCAACATTGGCCATGATAATAAGTTTGTTGGTAAATGTTACAAAAGTGGAGTCAATATAAAAGGACCTTAGCATATTGTTTTATATAGATTCATATTCCAAGCTTTATTTTTAGTTACAAATTGCCACTTCTATGTCATTTTCAATGTTAAAAAATTTGGGTACTATTCTTGGCACTATTTGGTAACCCTTTCCAACACTTTAAAACACTATGTTTATGGAATTTTTATAAATTATTCATCCTAATATTCTCATGTTGTTCCTTAAATTTTAGCATGCAATAAAATTCTGAAGCAATTATACAATTTCTTTAAAAGTCAATCTTATGAACAGCACCTTTCATAGTGTTTAAATATTTTTTATTTTACCTTCTTTATGAGTGACAGTAGCATCATCCAACATATCCAAAGAAGTGATCATAGAAGTTGGTGATTTTTTCTTCAGTTCTATTTCTGTGGTCTTGGTCTGAAAAAAAATTGATGAGTCTAATACTGGCTGTTTCTCTCTATAGATCCAAGACTATAATTACAATAAGTTTTATAACCTTCTCGAAAATGCTGATTTTTTACCTCAGAAGCTTTTGTTTAACTTCTGGAAAATGTGTAAAACTTGCAACTCAACAACATAATTTTATAATATGAGGTCAATTATAAAAAGAGTAAATAAGAGAATGATAGTGGCATTACCCATATTTGACATACAATTTGACGTATAATTTAGGGTTATTGTAAAATATCAAATTGGCTAACATGCTGTTGAATAACAGTAATATTCTAACACCTAAATTTTGTTTCCTTGAAAATACATCGAACCTCCTCCTAGAATCAATATGGAATTACAACTAAATTGTACAGAAATCATCCTGAATAACCAACTGAAGGCCAGCTGGAGATAAGTCTTATAACAAAGGACTAACGTAAGCAATCATATCACCACATCAAGATTGGTAGGAAATGTAGAGGCACAAGAGGGCTGGCTGAGCTCTCACAGGTGGTAGCCAAAGTTTCTGAGGGATATTTCAGTGGTCAGGTGTTCCCTCTGAGATGTGTGGTATTTAAACACCAAAGCTGGGCCCTCCAGCCTACAGCAAAGGACCCAGAAAGGAACCCAGATAACATCCAGCTCTGAAAAGCAGCAGGGTTTCTATCTGCCAGGGAGAGACAGCTGGAGAGGTAGAGAGCCTCTTAAAGGGCCAGTGCACAAAATTTGCAGCCCCTTACCCACTCGGCTCTAATGGGCAGAAGGAGAACAGAGTGAAGTAGAGATGATTGAGGTAGTTTGGGGCTGGTGGCTCTGGAGAGAGAACTGAAAGAACGGCTTCCAGTATCCTTGTGTTAAGTCATTCCACATACTGCAGAAACCACTTTTCTTAGGCAGAGCACTACTATCAAAGTAGCATCAGCCTGGAGGGGAAGCAATAGCCCTGCCCACAGGAATTGATCTGACCCAACCTTTGGTGCTTAAGCTGAGCTGCTGATTATGGCTCTAGACTACGCCATTGATTCGTTTAACACCTAAGGCATAAAGGGCAACCAAGGAATGCATGAATAAGTAGAACAACTGATGTTCTCTCTCTGTTTCCCTCCCTTCCATTTTGCCACCCTCTCTTCTCTTAAAAAACAAACAAATAATGCCCCCCAAACCCAAAATCAGTTAAGACAAGAAATAAAAAGAAGCAGCCAAAATGGGAAGACAAAGAAACAGACCCCAAATGAAACAATAAGAGAATTCTTTAGAATAACTAGATGAATCAGAGGGAAGCAATTTATCAGATAGAGACTTTAGAGTAAAGACTATAAAGATACTCTACAGCATGAAAAAAGACATAGAAACCATAATAAAGGAACAGTCAGAAATAAAGAATAAAGTATCTGAATTAAATAATACATTGGAAAGAATAAACAGTAGGTTTAAACAGTAGTAGATGAAGCAGAGGTTCAAATCAATGATCTAGAACACAAAGTAGAGAAAAACACCCAAGCAGAGAAACAAAAGGAAAAAAAAAATTTTAAATGAAGAGAGCTTAAGAAATATTTTGGACAAAACAAAGCATAACAACATTCACATGATGGGAATACTAGAAGGAACAGATAGAGAGCAAGCGATCAAGAACCTATTTGAAGAAATAATGGCCCCAAACTTCCCTAATCCAGTGAAGGAAAAAGACACATGAATCTAGGAAGCTCAGAGAGTTCCAAAAAAGTTGGACCCAAAGAGGCCTACACTGAGACACATCAAAATTAAAATGACAAGCCTTAAAGACAATGAGAGAATCCTGAAAACAACAGGAAAAGCAGGTAGTTACATACAAGGGAGCACCAACTAGACTGTCATCTGCATTCTCAACAGAAACACTTAAGGCCAGAAGGGAATGGAATGAAATAGTCAAGATGATGAAAAGCAATGGCCTACAACCAAGGTTATACTACACAGCAAGGCTATCATTTAAAATTGAAGGAGATATAAGGTGCTCCCTAGAAAAGAAAAAAACTAAAGGAGTTTGTTAACACCAAAACAGTATGTTAGAGGGCTTGCTAGAAGGAGAAAGAGAAGGAGGAGAAGGAGGAGAAGAAGGAGGAGGAGGAGAAGGAGGAGGAGAAGGGGAAGGAGGAGAAGGGGAAGAAAGGAGGAGGAGGAGAGGAGGAGGAGAGGAGGAGGAGGAGGAAGGTGGTGGTGGAGGAGGAGGAGAAGAAATATACTGTCTCCAAGAGACCCATCTCAGCCTGAGAGATACACTCAGATTAAAAGTAAAGGGTTGGAAAAAGTTTTTCAGGAAAATGAAAAAGAAAAAAGGTGGAGTAGTAGCCTTTATATCTGACAAAAAAGACTTTAAAATGAAGGCTAAAGGGATAAAGAAGGACACTACATAGTGATAAAGGGAACAATCCAACAAGAAGATATAACTCTAGTTATATTTACACAACCAACACAGGAGCACCTAAATATGTAAAGCAAACCTTGAAGGACATAAAGGGAGAGACTAATGGAAATGCAGTTATAGTTGGGGATTTTAACACCCCATTGACTTCAATGGATAGACATTCCAGAGAGAAAATCAACAAGGAGACAGCAGCCTTAAACAAAACACTAGATTAAATGAATTTAATTGATATCTTCAGAACATTTTACCCCAAAGCAGCAGAATATACATACTTTTCAAGGACACTTGGAACATTTTCTAAGATAGACCATGCATATGTTAGGATATAAAACAGTCAGTAAATTTAAGAAGATTGAAATCATATCAACTATCTTATCTGACTGCAATGCTATGAAACTAGAAATCAGACAGAAAAAGAAAACTGAAAAACACTGAAAGACATGGAAGCCAAATAGCATGTTATTAAACAATGGGTTAACAATGAGATCAAGGAAGAAATCCAAAGATACCTTGAAATGAATGAAAATGAGGGCACAACATTCCCAAATCCTGTGAGATACTGGGAAAACAATCCTAAGAGGGAAATTCATAGCATTACAGGCCTATCTCAGAAAAAAAACAAGAAAAAGCTCAAATAAACTATTTAAGTTCACACTTAAAGGAATGGGAAAAAGAACAACAAACAAAGCCCAAAGTGAGTAGAAGAAAGGAAATAAATAAATAAAGGTCATAGCAGAAACAAGTGAAATAGAGTCTAAAAAAAAACCTGATACAAATGATCAATGAATCCAAGAGTTGATTCTTTGAAAGATAAACAAGAGTGACAAGCCTTTAACCAGACTCTTTGAGATAAAAAGGGAAAGCACCTAAATAAATATAATCAGAAATGAAAGAGGAGAAATAACAATTGACACCAAAGAAAAACAAAGGATTGTAAGAAAATATTATGAACAACAATATGCCAACAAACTGGACAACCTGGATGTAATGGATAAATTTGTAGACACCTACAATCTTCCTAAACTAAATTAGGAAGAATCAGAGACTCTGAATAGACAGATTACACCTAGTGAAATGGAAGCAGTCATCAAAAACTCCCAACAAACAAAAGTCCTGGACCAGATGGCTTCACAGGTGAATTTTACCAAACATTCTAAGAACTAACACCTCTCCTTGTCAAACTATTTCATAAAATTCAAGAGGAGGGAAGGCTCCTAAGCATATTTTACAAGGCCAGGATTATCCTAATTCTAAAACCAGATAAAGACAGTACAAAGAAAGAAAATTATAGGCCAATATCCCTGGTGAACATAGATGCTAAAATCCTCAACAAAATATTCACAAACTGAATAAAGCAATGCATCAAAAATATCATACACCATGATCAAGGGGGATTTATTCCAACAATGCAAGGTTGGTACAACATTCACAAATCAACTAATGTGATTGGCCATATAAACAAAATGAAGGATAAAAACCATACGATCATGTCAATAGATGCAGAAAAAGCTTTTGATAAAATCCAGAACCCATTTATGATCAAAACTCTCAGCAAAGTGGGAATAAATGGAACATACCTAAATATAATAAAAGGCTACATAGGATAAACTCAGTGCCAGCATCATACTCAATGGGCAAAACCCACAACTGTTCCCCTTAAGATTGGGAACAAGACAATGTCCACTTTTGCCTCTCTTATTCAATAGAGTACTCAAAGTCTTAGCCATAGCAATCAGACAAGAAGAAGAAAGAAAAGGCCTCCAAATTGGAAAGGAAGTAGTAAAATTGTCTTTATTCCCAGATAATGTGATACAATACATAGAAGACCCCAGAGATTCTACCAAGAAACTACTAGACCTGATCAAAGAATTCAGCAAAGTAGCAGGATATAAAATCAGTATCCAGAAATCAGTTGCATTTTTATATACCAATAACAGACTAACAGAAAGGGAAGGTAAGAAAACAATCCCATGCGCCAATTGCTTCAAAAAGTTAAAAATACCTAGAAATAAACCTAACCAAGGAGGTAAAAGACTTATACTTGGCCAATTTTAAGACACTGAAGAAAGATATACAAGAAGATACAAATAAGCGGAAACAAATACCATATTCATGGATAGGAAGAGTTAACATCATTAAAATGTCCACATTACCCAAAGCAATCTATAGATTCAATGCAACTCCTATCAAGATTTCAATGATGTATTTCACAGAACTAGAACAAATGTTTCAAAAATTTATCTGGAACCACAAAAGGCCCCACATAGCAACAGTGATCCTAAGAAAGAAGAAGAACAAAATTGGAGAAATCACACTACCTAATATCAAATTATACTAAAAGGTGATAGTAATCAAAACAGCATGGTACTGGCATAAAAACAGGCACATAGATTGATGGAATAGAATAGAGAGCCCAGAATTAAACCAACACCTTTATAGTCAATTAACATTCAATAGAGGAAGCAAGCAGGTACAATGGGCTAAAGAAAGTTTATGCAGTAATTAGTGTTAGGAAAATTGGACAGATATGCACGGAAAAATGAAACTAGACCACTTTGTCACACACAAGAATAAATCAAAATGG